AATACAAATCGGTTCAGATAAATTGTCTACAAATCAAAATACGATTATTTTTAGTGATAGCCACGATTTTAACAAGTTAACTGAAAAGATGAGGTTCGATATATAGGCATGCAGTTAAAATCCTCAGGGAAAGGAAATGTTGCAACAATTGTAATGCTCTGCCATATTCCTCGAGTAAAAATGGATGAAAAGTCGGATTAGACGTGAAATACCTTCTAGATTCACGAACAGTAACAAAGCTGGTGACCTTGAGTTATTCTAATGTCACAAAAGCAAATTATACATGATTCACACAGAGACTTAATTCTTTTACTCTATAAGCTGTGACCTGCAGCACTTGCAGGCATCCAAGGAAACCAATAAGTGAGAGTTGTGATTTATGCTGTTCACGTTCCTTCTTGTGGTTTATAATGGTGCTTTCCGGGTTCTTTTTTCAATGGTGAATAACAGTCACCCAGTCAGACAGATTGAATATCAAATACACAGCTACCTCAAGCTGCTAAATCAAATTTTTATATTTCGCATTTCAGAAGGAAAAGATAGCATCATCTTCTGTTGATCTATAGAGAATATAGCTCTGTAATTAGATTTAGATTTAAGTAGCAGCACTTGCCATTTGTGACAGTTTTGCACGGAAAACATTATTCAAAAGGGATCCCTGAAGATGTAACCAAAAAACTATGGCTTTAAGGCAGTGTTTTTTTCTACATATCAGTATATCACATTCTCATAGATTACATGCTATGCTACTCAGATTTCAAGGGTGAGTGGAAAATACGGTTATGTATCCTACTCCTATGTGCGTATTTATATGCCGATTTTCTCTTGGAGGGTTGTACCTTTGTACCCATGTCCAGACATCTCTTTGAGACTGACACAAATACTTAAGGAAAATTGAAGAGTTTGAATGACTAAGCTTACAAGTTCATTCTAATTGAAAGACCTAACAATATAAGTGCAAAATGAGAATCACACCATATATTTGCTGGCAGTTATATATGTATAGCGGTCAACAAGGGCTTGTTCCCTCTCCTTGCATCTAAGTTTTAAGGAACAACAGGCCCATTTTGTGCCTCGAAAGCAATACACAACACAAGTACTTGTTCCTACTGATATGTTTGTTTAACTTCTAAAACTGAACCTATGCTGCTACTTAAGCCTCTCCTGAATACATACAGAATTCATAATCAGAAGAAATGCACAGCATTGCATGATGCTCACCAAACAGACTACAATAAATCAGCAGCCATCAATCATTTCTTTTCCCTTTAATATTATGCAAGCCGTAAAGGCACACAATGGCAACTACTAACTGTGAATCTACCATAAATATGAATCATACACAGGATATACAGCAGCAAAATCACTACATAATCATATAAGCAAAGAAAGAAATACAACATACCAGCGCAAAAAAAACCGTTGACAGGAAATGACCTGAGTACAAAAAGTGCAGCAGACAGAGCAACTACTGTAACAGAGATCCTTGGCCTCGGTACAGAGTCCTGAACTCGAAAACATAGGAACGAGCATTTTCAACTACGATGTTAATCCGAACACTATAACCACAGGAGAGAAAAATAGATGACCTTACTGGCACTAGATTGGTTCCAGCTTCAATTCCATCCTTCCCAACCTTCCATACAGATTGAATAACTGATAATAAAGTTCAAACAGGCTGTCAGTGCTAGTCAAAAGACCCACATTAAAACAGTCCCAAATCAATGAAATTATGATAGAATTTATCCAGAAAATCGACTTGCCTTAATGCTACAAATCTAAACTATAAATGCAGTTCTCAATCACATCATTTTTAAACACCCATTTACATGTCAATGATTATTCAGAAGAATAGAGAGAGAGAGAGAGAGAGAGAGAGAGAGAGAGAGAGAGCAAAAAGCAAACCTTTGAAGAAGTTGGACTGAAGTGCAAAAACAAGGGGTCTTGGTGCTAAGGGCTTATTAGATTTGATATTTGAGAAAAGGGTTCTTCTCTTTAAACTTAAAAAGGAAGTGGAAGACAAGAAACTGGAGAGAGTGAGAGCTAGGGTTTGCTTCTTGTAGAAACATTTTGGAGAGTGTGGTGATATAGAGAACATGCTATTAATCACAGCTGGGGAAGCCATGAAACACAAAGAAAAATAATACTGAAGTGTGTTTAAAAAGATAATTATGTTTCTGAAGAAAATCAAGAGATGAAATCATGAAACAAACTTTGCCTAGATGAAAATCTTCCAGTTGCTTATGTTGTAGCGTCAAGACTCAAGAATCCTGATGCTTACTCCCTACCTCAAAAATAATGGGGAATAGGCCCACATTTAGATTAACCCAACCGAGATAATTAAGCTTCAAGGAAGTCCAAATTTGGAACATATAATTAATTTCCAGGCGAGATGGTATTGGGCTAGTCCTACTCTTTGAAATTTTTTTTTATATTTTATGATATAATTTTATATCTTTAAAATTTTATAATTTTATACCCCTAAATGTTTATTATAAATTCTTTAAAGTTCATAGCACTGATATAAAAATGGTAAATTACACGTTTCGTATCTAACTATAGTTTTGGTTCGTTTTAATACCTAAACTTTCAACTTTTTTAAAATCATACCTAAAGTTTAATTTTTATTTTGTTCTAGTATACTGTTCAAAATTTAATGTTAAGTTGTGGAACTAAATTGAAGGCTTAGGTACTAAAACATACCAAAATTGATAGTTTAGGTACTAAATGTGTCAAGTTTTTAACGGTGGGGTACTAAGATGAAACAAAAACTAAATGTCAGTTATGATTTAAAAAAATAAAAATTTAAATACAAAAATGAACCAAAAATGATAATCTATGTACTAAATACATAATTTACCCTATAAAATTTCATAGGTCGTGGTTATTATCTATATATTGATGTAAGATTATCAAAAATCGATGATAATCATAATTGACTTATTTAGAATTATTTGATGAGAAATTTTAAATTTAAGACATACAAAATTAAAATACATATTGTTAGGCTCGATGAAACTCGATCGATCAATCGAAATATGTCAAGAGGGGTGAATTGGCTTTTTGAATTTTAGGGAGTGAGGAGTATAAATATAGAAAAATTTGCACAATGATTTATAGTGGTTCAACTCCCTCAATGAAGTCTAAATCCACTAACTAAGCTCCTCACTTAGGATTTTCCAACAAATCCATTAATTTGTTCTTTCTTTTTCAAGATTCAAGAGTAACCTTTACAACTCTCTAGTTTTTCACTTGGGGTAAACTAGAACAAAAACCCCTTTACAAAGGATAAGAGATGTAAACAAGAAAATCCTTACAAGGTAGGTGTTTACAAAGGTTAAGCTCACTAAAACACTAACATTTACAAGAGAAAGAAAAATAAGATTGAAAAACTCTTCTATTATGTTTGATTGCTTTGATAGGCTTTTTGTATATTTATATAAAATTTACGAACCATAATTTATATAATATATAATTTTAAATATTCACGTACTTTTATTATATTTATTTTTATTACATTTTTTCATATCATATTATATTTTAAACATTTTTCTATATTTTCAAGTTGTTACAATTACGCCCCCAATTTCATGTGTCATACAATTCAAGTTACTTTTCTAATACCAATTTAGGGTATTTTTATTTGTATAAAATATATAAATACTCTTGTGATATATTAGTTTTGTGTCTAAAATAACAAAAAATCAATTTTCTGCTTTATTTTATTAAGGTAAGGTGATTACAAAGTAGTATTTGTTCTAAATACTTTCAATCATTTGACAATCAACGCTCAATCACCTTGCTGTAACCGCTAGTACTTGAACAGTAACCTCTAGAAACAATAACGATTTTTTTTAACCATTGAGGTAGATAATAATGCAAAGCCAACTAAACTTCGAGAACCTTAATGTTTTGAGTCCAATTTTTACATGGGCCACCTTAGTTCTATTTATCTATCATTTATGGACACAATGTTCAATTGTAAACCAATATCCTTTTGAATTTTGAACATTTACTCTGATTAAAATAATATATAATTAAATTGAAAATTTTAATATGATCAAATTTGAGAATAAAAATTAAATTAACCACTTATGTTTAATATATAAATTAACAGCATATTTAACTTTATAGATCCGTGACTATTATTTCAGTATTGAAATTTTAAAATTATATGAATTAAGAATGAATAAATTAAAATATACTTCCATTTTAGTTCATGTAATTTTAGTCGCCCATGGTTTATTTTTTTAAGGACATGTTTCATCATCTGGTGGTTCAAAAAATTGAAGGAAAAAAAAACTTTGAAGAGTTGATTAAAATGAATTTTTTTATAGTTGAGTGACTGAAATGAAAATGGAACCTAACTTTAGTGTCCTGTTTGAAAAAACATCTTTTGTGGTGACCAAAATGAATGCTTCAATGCTCATATTTACAGTTGACACGTTTCTTAAATCTCGAATAAATATGTAACGTAAATTTGCGGTTACAAAAGTTGATGAAACCAATGCTCATGTTTGACGCACAAAGTTTTTTGATTTGGTGGCCGTTGTTTAGAATATTTTTTTAGAATTAATTATTAGTATCCGATCTATTAATCGACTAATCTTAGATCGGTATTGTAGAGGTGAGAGCGACCATCCCAACCCAGTTTGCTCCATTCACAACGTCAGGATTTGAACTCCTGACATTATTTAAGAGACCTAGTGTCTCATCTCAGTAAATTAACCGGTTGTCGATAATGTTTGGAGTTTTCTACTATTTATGTTTATCGCTGTTTTTTTTAAAGGATGGAGTATTTCAAAAAAGATAAAAAAAAACTTAACAAAAAAGGACAATCTTATTTATTTTATTCTCGACGACGACGACAACTTATAAAAACACTGCTAGAACAACACTGTTTTATTCTTTAAAACTGAGAAGAAGAGAACAACACAACAACAACATCAAAGGTAGCCAACAGCTACTGCATGACAGTCCTTTGTTTTGTCTTCCATTTTTTAGATACTTGGGTAGTGACCATCCAATTCCCTCAGGATGGAAATAAGGAGCTCGGGAGACATGGGCTTCTCCGAGTATACATCAACTCCGGCTGCCAAAAACGCTTGCCTCTCTCTTTCGCTGAAGGAAGCAGAGACCCCAACCATCTTGCTTCGCGTCCCCATTGCACGAATCCGTCTCGTAGCCTGTCATAAAAACAGACGAATAAACATAAAACAACTTATATAATCTATTAATAGACTAATAAGTTATTCTTATTCCTCTAGCCTGTGCGGTCTGAGCACAATATTACTATTAAGTATTGTGCTCAGTGCTCAGAACGACAAGACTAGAAAAAGTGATGATATAGTTATTTTAAGCGATGTTTACCTCAATGCCATCCAGCATGGGAAGATGCTTGTCGATGACGATGAGGTCGAATTTAGCACCCGAAGCGATGAGCTCAACAGCAGCGTCACCGTTGTCGACACCTTGAGTATGGAGTCCACAAGATTGAAGAATTCCCTGCTCCACTGCTCGGCAAAAATCGACACCGTCGACGACAAGAGCAGTCAACCTGTTCCTCAGAACGATGTCGTTAAATGAAAATCGCTTAGGATTTGGTCGTCCTCCATTGCCCGAGTTTGCCCTGTCATCTCCTGAAGGGAAAGCCGGTGCCATCGATCACCTGAGATTAAAACATGTTAAGGATTTGGACAAGAAACTGAAATAACAAGCGAAAAAGAAAAGAAAAAGACCAAACTTGAAGAACTGCTTTGCCTGAAACTATTCACTAATGGAGACAAAAGACAATGGCTATGTTTTCAAGAGGAAATGGTTTTGCTTGCTTACTATTAGCAAGCAACTAGAGAGCTGAATTGGTGTGAAAGCAAGAGGCTACATATGCAGGTTTAAATAGGGAGTAAAGGGTTAACAACTTTGGATTTATCCTCCATTTTCAGTCCACGATGACTATAACAACCGCCTATTAAAAACACCACAAGAACAACGCCAAAATGTCATTGTTTAAAGCTAAGTAAAGAGAACAACACGACACCATCAAAGCTAGTAATACAAATTTTTAAGGTGGCCAGCAACAACTACATGAAAGTCCTTTGTTTTGTGTTTCATTTTCTAGATGAATCGGCATCTCTCTTTCATTAAAGAAAGTAGAGAATTGATATGCCATAAGAATAGAAGAAGAATCATAAAACAATTTATCATACGATCCACTGACCAACCAATAAAGTTTTCTCATTTCTCTTGACCGCACGGCCTGAGCACAATACAAGTATTATGCTCGCATCGACGGTTCAACACGACCAAATAAAATAAAATAAAGGGTAAAGTATAGTAATGGTCACTGAACTTTTATAAAGCTTTCATTTAGGTCCCACAACTTTTAAAACATGGAAAACAGTCCTCTAACATTTAGTCCGTTTGCAATATGGTCTCCGTCGTTACACAGTTGTTAGTATGTTTGTAATATGGTCATTGAACTTTTCAGGCGCTTGCATTTAGGTCCCCCAACTTTTAAAACTTGCAACACAATCCTCAATTTCATTCTAAACCTCAAATTCCTTTTCGATCTCGAATTTTCTTTTTCGCTTCTCTCTTCTCATTTTTAGCGTAACTTTTCAGTCGGGGAAGCATGGGAAATTTTTATCTAACTTTGAATTATGTGGAGATGTTGACTTGAATAAAGGTCCATTGACAGAAGACCCGACCAAGGGACTATCGGGACCATCAACGATTCAAGGTGTAATGTTAGATACATATCATTTCAGGTGAAACATAGATATTCGATGAAATGATTGTGAGAAAAAATGGTGTTAGAAATGCAGAGTTGACAAATACTACTAAGATGAACTAAGTATTATTGTTGAAAGTCACCAACAAAGCTGGAATTATTTTGTATAAATGGCATATAATAATTTCTTCGTTTGATCCTTGTGGTTAAAAATTTTCTAACAGATGATAAAATATAATGAAATCTCAAACAACGCATTCACCTCTTAGTCTCTTTCGCTCACATGCACTCTCGTTTGGTTTTTGTTCTTCAATTTTCCGCCATGTAAAATTATAAACCCAAACAGTGCTCTGTCTTTCAGCTTTTTATTTACAAAGAAAAAATGGAGGAAGAATTGCAAAAACGCAACACTAATTGCGTTTATTTCTTAGCATCTCCCCTCACTTGCAAGAAGGTATTTATTTTCTCTTTTGGGCTATCCGGAAGTAAGCTTTTCCTCTTTCGTACTTTCCCATTTTCAGCTTGCAATGTGTATTTTTTGTTGAAATTTTTATGTTTCTGAAACTGCATGTCAATGATCTGGATATTCAGTGTTAGTTTTGAACCAAAATCATCTAATTTTCTTTCTTTCTTCTTAATTAAAACTTTTAGTACTCATTGTGAAAGATATTCAGTCCACCAGAATAGAAATGAAAGAGGGTACTAGGCTAATTTTTTTTTATCTTTTGTTTGGTTTTTCTTTAAATCAGGGAATTGGTTGAGTATCGACATAGTGAAATCGGCAGGCTCAATCCGAGAGACTTTTGGTACTAGTTTACTGGAATTGTATTAATCCGACTTATGGTTTTCGGCGTCCCGTGAATTCTTATTCTTTTTAATAAGTTAATGTTGATTATGGGATAGATATATCGTGAATGAATTGAATTTTTTTACATGTTTTGGAAATTTTACAGTTGAATTGTATTGAATTATAGCTTTAGAAGACAATTATGCATGCACGCAACTCGAAAGGTATCATGACATGGTAGTATATTTGGAGCAGCTACTTGACCGTATCATGATGCCTTTCATGTTGCGAAAGAGTCTGAGAGGTGAATGCGCTGTTTGAGATTTCATTATATTTGATCATATGTTGGAAAATCTTTAACCACAAGGATTAAACGAAGAAATTATTATGTCATTTATACAAAATAATTTCAGCTTTGTTGATAACTTTCAACAATGATACTTAGTTCATCTTATAGTATTTGTAAACTCTGCATTTCTAACCCCTTTTTTTCTCACAAGCATTTCATCGAAGAGAGAAGCGAAAAAGGAAATTCGAGATCGAAAAGGAATTTAGGGTTTATAATGAAATTGAGGACCATGTTGCAAGTTTTAAAAGTTAGGGGGACCTAAATGCAAGTGTCTGAGAAGTTCAGTGACCATATTGCAAACGTACTAACGGCATTGTAACGACGAGGACCATATTGCAAATGGACTAAATGTTAGAGGATTATATTACAAGTTTTAAAAGTTGAGGACCTAAATGAAAGTTTTAGAAAAGTTCAGTAACCATTACTATACTTTACCCTAAAATAAAATGTGTGACTTTATATATAGGGATGCCCGTCCTGAAATGCAAGTAGGGATGGAAATTTAATCTGAAACCGATAGATTTCGGTTCAGTTTGAATTAAATCAAGTTGGATTTGTTAAAAGGTTCAAGTTTGAGTTGAGTCAGATTTTTTAGGGAATAAGGTCGGGTTCAGGTTCAGGTGGACTGTGAAAAACTTCGACCCGACCGGCTTGGAATAATAATGCAATTTCTTCAAATAAATTTACATATAATTATTATAATACCCCATCCATCTATTATTATTTTCAATTAAATCCTTATTTTGTATCGTTTGGTCAAATTAAGTCATATTTATACTATAAAATTAGATTCATGTCAGAATCGAATAAATATATATATATATATATATATTAGATTGGATTGAATTGAATTCAAATAAAATATATATATATTATTTTAGTTAAATCAAATTAATCAAAGTTCCAACTCAACCCGTTACCATCACTACCTGTGAGATCCTATTCGCATAAATTGTAATCAGCCTCAACTGCGTGCTGTTAGGATCCTCCAAGTGTGAAAAAAAAGGCCGCTATTAACATAAAATTAATTTAGATCTTTAAATTAATGAGAATACTAACCCACTAGGTTTAACACAACATGTTTTTTTTATCTAATGTTTTATGTTATAGATTTAATTTTCCAATACTCAATTTTATTATTCATTGCTAGAAAATTTCAACATTATTACATATGTGAATTCAGGACAAATATTTTTATTGTTTTATCTTTAAAGACAGTATTCATTTAATCCGACTTTGTAACACTTTTTTTTAAAGAATAGAGTACTTCGAAAATGACAAAAGATAAAAATTTAATAAAATAAGACAATCTTATTTTGCAATGCATGTTTCTAAAAGAGTAGAATACTTCAAAAACAAATGCAAGGTAAAGGCTTAATAAAAGAAAACAATCTTATCTGTGTCATTACCGACAATCATACTCGACGACCACTTCAACAAACAATGCTAACTTGCTAAGACAACACTAAAATTTTGTTGTTCGAAGTTAAGAAAAAAGAACTGTACAAGCAACAACATCAAAGCAGGTAACAGAACTTTTGAGGGTAGCCAACAACAACTACATGGAAGTCCTCTGTTTTTGTCTTCCATTTCCTAGATGGTAAACTTAAACTTTTAAGATTTCAAGGGGACGACTTGAATTTATAAAATTTTAGGAGAATAAAAACAAATTTTCAATAAAAATTACATGGAAAAAATATAAAATATATGATAATTTTAAATTTTTAAAGAAATCACTACCTACCCACCCCGTCGGTTCATCCCTAATAATATCCGTATGAGACATGCGACTCTGATAAGCAAGGCATAGCTATCTCGCTGTAGGTTTAGTTTCGATACTTTCTGGACTCGAACACAGATATTGTAAAGAGATAATTGGTTTTGGTAAAGCTGATGAGATATTCAATTTTTTTTGGCATTAGGCTGTGTTTAGGGTTTAGCCAGAGAATCGAACCAATTTCACTGAACTTACCTAATAAAGAATATAATTTGCCCCAAAAACTAAATTTCTTTATCAGTATAGCAACGATGTTAAGCAAAATGGTGCTTACAAATTACAACATGGGCATATATATTAGTGCAATTCCCTATTTGATTCCCCAACAAAAGCACTCATTCTCCAAAAACCCAGCAAAGTAATTAAGACATGGGGGAAAAAACACTGCAAATGCATTCACACGATATACAAAATGCACAACAATGAATAAGTAAATGTTTCCAGAACCCGACCTCACTCGCTTTCGGCTAATCATGGCTGCCATCTATAGGGGTGCCGGTCCTGGCCTGTGATATCCTATTGGCATAAATTGTAACCAGCCTCAACTGTGTGCTGCTAAGCCCCTCCAAGTGTGGCAAAAACGCTTTCCCCAGCATTATGTAGATATCCACCAAACAGAAAACCACAGTCTGCACCATTGATAATAACATGAAATCGACAAAAATGTAGTAAGAAGAATTTAAACGGATCAGTTCTTCCGAATGCAGCCTAAAAGTGCCCTAAGAATTCACAAATAACAACATATAAAAGATCCCAAGTTCCAGACATTATTGTATTTGTATAATGACAGATTTAAAAAGCATGAGTATTACCTTACGGACATCAGCACTCTGGTTTCCAAAAGCTTCGAAAAGAGCGGGCAAAAACGAGGGCAACTGAGCAGTTAGTTCCTCCTGTGATAGCCTGCCCACAAGCTGGACGGTAAAGGCAGAAAGCTTAAAACACTTTACATCAACAGAAAGGAAAGCAACGACAATTCCCATGAATGGGATTAACTTTATAAAAGCATGCAACATATCTGTACAAATGCTGGACGTTTATCCTGATTCAGGTTCAGTATACATTAATTTTAACAATTTTTGTTCCAATCAAGACTTGGAATAAATACCTTTGTTAAACAGCTGATGCAAATAACTAGAGTCTTCTCATCTTCAGTAACTAATAAAGATACAATAACCTGCAATCCAAGTCATTTGACAACA